TGAAACGGGTTTTCTAGTTTTTCCAATAAAAACTACTGCCAAAGTGTATCAAAAAATTGTTAAAAATTGAAAAATCCAACTACAAAAGAATAAAAATCGTGCTAATGCTAATTTTTGCGCTCCTCATTTTCTTGCCGCAAATTCCTCCTGTTGTAAGTGATAATTTGCCTACATCGGCTGCCGGCTGTCAGGTTTGTGATTTTATGTTTTTTTAAGCAAGTCTAGAATACACAATATGTTTTATTTATGCCCCTCTATAGAAAAAAAGCACTTCTCTTGCAAACGGAGCCTTTCCGTTCATAATTACGGATCTGGGGGAACCGAACCACTCATCTTTCCGTCCGAACGCAACATGCCAAACCACTGCACCATCAACATTCTTGTCCACTGAACATATTTCAACTTGTATGAGAAAGTAAGTGCCAGCTTTTCGAGAAAATTCCGCGAAAACCGCTCGATCGGTGAAGCTCCTCATCGTGGCCAGGGCATGACAGTGTTCGAGACAAGTTGATGATGTCTAATACGCAACAAAAAAAATCCTGATATGCCTACAGTTTTGTCATGTGTGCTTCCAGAGGGAAAACGGTTGGGCTGTAAATTCCTTCAAGGGACGAAACTGACGCCAGGATCGCCAGTAGACTGACCACCACAAAACGCAGTGTTGGCTAAAGCAACCGGAGAAGCAAATAGTCAAGCAAGAGAAAAGTTATAAAAAACCAAATAACAAACAAATCAATGTAATTCAGCGAAGTTTACCGCCCCTTTCAATAGTGCATATTCGAACAATAACAACAACGGCATCCCCCACTCCCTTCACTCCGTATCATGAACAACAATCGTTACTTCTCTCGATACTGCATCGTTATAGTGCGCCGATGATCATACGAGTCAATTCACGTGGGGTGTGGAAGTAGAAGACGACGAAGAAGAAAATGATGATCATGATAACGACGAACAAATTCTTTATCGTGAATATCGATTTGAAGGCGATATTGGTTCGTCATTTGCCTTCTTAATAAATACCACAGGTGCCAAGACTGTCTGGACAATCGTATGAAAATCCCATGTTAGTGACGTTACTGCAACTAGAAGGAAGATGGGCTTATTAGCAAAAAAGGTAATACATTAGCTGAATGAAACAGTAACAAGGGGGAAAGGAAATAATGATAGGTGGAGAAAAGGGTGTCCCATTTTCACCGCCTAACAACCGCAGTATCGTTTATTAGCAAATAACAAAGCATTTAACCAGGCAAATAATGCGTTTTGTTTTCACTTCTCATTTCCCGGAAAATGCAGTTATTTTACAGTACTCACCAACAACTCGAACGCGGTCGACTGTAGCACTACCGTAACCTGGGATAATAGCAGCACACGAAGTGAATATGGTAAAAACGATGAAGCCCAAACTGTTGCTGCTAAAATACAGCATAATTCAGTGCGGCAGAAAACACTGCTATGGCCAGGTGGTCGAATACCGTATACGATTTCACCGTCTTACAGTGAATCCAGGTATTACTGTATATTGTTCCCACATTATACTAGCATTACAGTATATTGCTAAAGCTCAAGTCTATTGCCATTTTTGCAGTCGATCAATTATCCAAGAAGCGTTTGAGGAATATATGCGCCAGACATGCATTCGTTTTATCCCAAAGCAGCTACTGGATTTAGATTTCATTGACATTATACCAGATGATGGTTGCTATTCGATGGTAGGCAATAATGGTAATATTTTGATGCTAATTTACTTATTGGATTTAGTCAGAATTATAAATACTATTTAAACAGTAAGTGACAGGTAACTGTGAAGTATACTTGGAGATGTTAAAGATTTCAAAACACACAAAGAATTGATAGTTTAGCTGAGATTAATACATTTCGGCCTATTAAAATGCATTTGTTAGCGTCATAACTGAAACTTGTCAGCACAAATTCATTTTTTAAGCGTTAATATTAGGCTTTCGCACAATAATGCAGCATTTACAATCAGACTCTCTGTCAGATGAGCGACAAATGTCGCTGCGAGCATGGGCAGAGCATGTTACTCACCTTGCTAGTAACCAGTGGACGCCGCGTATTATTGTCCACTTAAAGTCGTCTTATTAAATGTCAGCTGTGCATTTGACTTTAAATTTTAGGTGGCAGACAAGCAGTTAGTTTGGGCGACGGCTGTTTAAGAAAAGGCATTGCAATACATGAATTAATGCATGTTCTCGGATTCTTTCATGAACAAAGTAAGTTCAACTTTTTCCACATAAATTATCTGGTACCATTTGCTTCAGGAGATGACCATTTTGTTCTGGTCATCTTAAGTTTTTTTTTGGAAAGTTACTCCAGTACATGGCATTTCAGTACTCCAGCGTACGAAATTTCAGCACTTCAGTACACGGCGCTGAATCATGATTTGTACCCATTTATGTCTATGAATCATGCAGAAACGGATAGAAATTGTTGGGATTTCAGGTCGTGCAGATCGTGATTCTTACGTTGATATTCACTGGGAAAACGTGGATCCGACACTCGTTGGTGAGACTGTTAGCTTCTTTTAATTCTGGCCAGTCAATCTTAATTGAAAATGCATACCTTAACATCCGCAGGTATCAGGAAAATGAGCGAGGTAAAGGAAGGTGATGATGAGAGGAGAAACAGGCTGAATGTTTTGATCCATGAAGTTGTGGAAGTTTTAAACGGCCGTATGGAATTATGTAGATGAGAAAGGTTCAAAACAGAGAAGAGTTGAGAAGTTACCTGTTGCATCAGTGGCGAAAGAAACGTAACGCTGAGACAGCTACTGATCAAAACATTAGAGTATTTGTATTTGTTTTGCTTGATACACTTAATTGTTTAACTATTTGCTTACCAATTTTTTTTGTCTATTTTTTATTTCTCTTGTTACTTGTCTGTTCCCTCACTTTGTTGTTTCAAAAATTGCAGATCAATTTGATAAGTACTCGACGACAATAATTGATGAATTAGGTGCACCATATGATTATGCTTCTGTAATGCATTATGCGCCAACAGCATTCTCCAAAAATGGGCAACCAACAATCACTCCGAAAGCGGGAAACAAAGGTAAGTCGTCACTACTTTGTTGATCCTTTAGAGAATATCTCACATAACTTAGTTCATGATTTAAATCCACATGGCATAAGATCAGACATAATGGGTCTACGTACCATATGTACCGATGGGCATACTGAAGAATAGTCTGTGTTTCATCCCTTAACTGTAACAAAATAATCTGGACGTGTAGGAGGGGGCTGTCATTAGAACCTCCTACTTGTTGCTGACTAACCTCCACATATTCGGGTTATGCTTGAATGTGGAATTCATTAAAATTTGAATATGCAATGTGTGAGCTGAATCAGAGCAATATCGGAAATTCTCTATCGCTAATCAGGATAATCTCGGTCTCATATCGATAATCCACTTTAGTAATGCGAAAGTCGCACAGGGGTCAAATTACTGAAAATTTTTCCACATTTGACAAACACTGGAACATGACACCATTTAAGACTTGTTAATATCTAGTACCATAAAAGAAGTATGTCTGAAACGAAGTTGGGGATGAACAAGACCGATAACGCCGGAGATTCTTTGCTCTGCTTTCTAATTACAGTGAAACTGAGAGAAGATTTAGTTAAAATCCATGATAACATTATTGAAGAGCTGTTATCAACAACATTAAAAGCCTAGAATGATCATACTGACAATACAGTCGGTATGGTTATCCCGTGTTAATGATGTCACTGGAATGCTGCCTGGAGCAGCTACGCCAGACTCTTCGATTCTGAACTACATAACTCCACCTTGTGTCCACTACCTGCTCGATATATATGCGTTACCTGGAAAAAAACATATACATTTTAAAATGTTCCGTCAAACTACTAAAATTCCGTTACATTTTACAGATATTGAAATTGGTCAACGACGCGGCTTTTCCAATCTGGACGTCTGGAAAATCAATAAGCTGTACAACTGCACCGGCTATTCAGGTAAGTTTTCAGTTCCCTGTGCAAAAAAAAACTTGTTCATTGAACAGTAGAAATCTGGGTAATACACTTTATCAAGAGCTCTGTGTGGGTTTATTGAAAACGTATACAACTTAACGGACCGGAGCGTTTCAATCTCAGGCAAGTTATTAATTATTCATTTATGCACGCTTCAGCCTTTAAAATTTCCAAATATACTTTGCACTTAGCTGCTAGCTACTCCAGCAATATTTATAATTTTGTTCTTTGGCTCAATAGTAACTAACTGAGCGGTAAATATAAAACAATAACTTTATGTTTCTTGCGTCCGTTTTAACTCAAATTCAGTATTTGGGCATAATGACGATTTTGACTTTCGTTTTGCCTCCTGAACAGATCAGCAGCTTAATGGTTCTCTTAACAGGCGCACAATTTAGCTCAAGTTCAATAAAAAGCAGTTGACTCGTAAATAAAAAATTTACTCAACAAATAACCGCTGTCACAGATATATTTGCTAAACTAATAAGCTTTACGGCATAGCTTTTTCATCAGACACGTGATTTTTCAGCCGCAACAATGTTACCACGATCAACAATTCCTCCGAGGATTCGAAAAGCAAGGCGTCGCAACAGGCCTCTGACCGACAAAACAACGAATCAATTTGCATCAAAAATAGCGACAACAGTCACTCCTACAATAAGGATCCCTGCGGTTAATGCAACACCAATAATAACTTCACCAACTGCGCCTCCAACAAGCTCTACTACATCAGGAACAACATCATCAACTGCTCCTACAATAAGCTCTGTTGTTACAAAATCAACAAAAACAACGACACCATTTGTTCCAGCAGTAAGCTCTAATGCAACAATATTATCAACAACACCATCAAATGCTTCTTCAACAGGCCCAGTTATCTCGACATCAGCAACAAAAACAGCAACAACAACAACAGTAGCAACAACAACAATGACAACGAAAACAACAACCACATCGGCTGCTCTTACAAAAAATTTTACCGCGTTATCGACAGCAGCAGCGGCTACAACAGCTGCTCCTACAGTAAGCTCTAAAGTATCAGGACCTTCGCCGGAAGCAGCGGAACCATTTTCTACCAAAATATGCTCTACTGTAGCAATATCAACAACAACAGCAGCAAAAGTAGCGAAAACAACAGCAGCTGCTCCTTCAGTAAGCTCTATTCCAGTCATATCACCAGCAACAACACCATCAGCTGCTCCTTCAATAACTTCTACTGCAGCTGCATCTTCAAAAACACTGGAACCATTTTCTTTCATAACAAGCAGCGCTGCAGCAGTAGTACCATCAACAGTACCAGTTTCTTCCTCAGTAAGCCCTACCCGACCAGGGCCAGCAACAACAACAACAACAGAGACAGCAACAACGGCGCCTATTTCCGTGAAAACAGACTTTAATGCAACAGTATCAACAACAAGCCCAGTAAATGTAGCAGTATCAGTTGCTCCTCCAATAAGCTCTTCTCTAGCTCCAGCAGTAACAACAACGCCATCAGTTTCTTCTACAAGTTCTACTGCAGCAGCAGTGACAGCAACAGCATCGGCACCACATACCTCTAAAATAAATTCTACAGTAGCAGCACCAACAGCAACAGCAAGAACGGAATTAGCTTCTTCTCCAGCAAGCTCTACAGCAGCAACAACAACAGCAGTACCAACAACGACATCAGCTAGCGCTGCATCAGTTTCATCTCCAATAAGCACTGCAGCAACAATGGCAACAATAACAACAACCACGGCACCATCTTCTAAAAGAAGTTCAGCAGATCCGGTGACTCTGATCGCTACAAGCACGCAAGCATCAACAAAAGCTGGTTCTGGATCTGCAGTAGAATTGAACTCACTGACCTCACCGGTACTGTCGTCAGTTGCCGTGACTGATTTGAGCGATTTGCTAAATTTACTTGCAACATCGTCGTCGTCGTCTACTGCTGCCTTCGAAGAAACTAGAGCCACACCAGAAGCTTCTGCTATCACACCCGTTGCAGGTTTGTTTTAGAATTTTTTAACATAGCCAAATTACCGAGCAATGTGTCGAATTTTGAGATTGTGTTGAGACTAGTGAGAGTGTCGAGCCAAATGACGAATGCTAAGCCGATTTGTCTTGGATTATTTGCCTCTAACCTTTGCCTACTATCCTTATCACTGGAACTTGAAACGGCCACTAATTCACCATTGATTCAACAGTGATGTAGTCTATCACCACTATATTTTCTTTCTTCATTTTATGGTTGTTTTGACCAGTGCCGCATCGTCTAGTGGTCAGCTTTTTGTCGATGTTCATCTCTTGAAGGGTTATCTATCTTGATTTAGTGACCCTCCCGACAGGAGCACATCGACAAGGCTTTAGCCACTTGGAAATTCAACGGTGTGTATTGAGTGTCACCACTTCATCTTACCATTCCCAATCCATCTTGACGTATCTCAATGTAGTTGGGATTTATGCTGTCATTAATTATGTGGAAACAAGTCTCTTTCCTTCTGTTTCGTCTTTCCAATCTGGTCTCAAGAACTGAGTCACACATACACTGTGTATACGGGTAAGGAGGCTGTACTGATGATTCCCGCTCCTAACCGTGTGCTTCTGTACCCGTGCTTACAGGTAACGAGCTACAACACAGAGTTTTTTCATAGTTCCATGCAATATCTCGGTCCTCTTATTATTCTTTCAGGACCAATACTGCAAATATTCCGACCATGCAAGGATCAGCATCCGGACTGCGTCATTTTGGCAGCTAATGGCTTTTGCAGCACGCGCAAGCAGTTTATGCGTAATTACTGCGCACGTACATGTTCGTTGTGTTTGATTGAATGCATAGATCACGCACAGTGGTGTACTGCTTGGGTGCAAGCTGGAATGTGCACAAATCGGTATATAAAAAGATTTATGCGAGCAAATTGCGCTCGAAGCTGTGGAGCATGCTGAAAACTTATATGCTTCATAGTGGAACCTACTGAGAGTTTCCATGCACGTGTGTTGTAGTGGAACTCACTGAGAAACTCTACGTATGTGTATGTTGCAGCTGGAACTTGCTTAGAGATTTTATTTTTGTGTATTACAGTGGAACTTACTGAGGTTCTTACGTACGCGTTTATTATTATTATTATTATTATTTTTATTTTTATTATTATTACTATTATTATTATTATTATTATTTTCATTATTATTAAGCGTATCGATGTATTTTGCCGCAAAAATTGCTGAGTTATCGTGTGCGCGCTGTATAGAAAAATGTGTTGAGCAGTTTCTACTTACGTGTTTTGACGGTGACAAATATCTAGAAGTTTGTAATTACATGTTATACGACAGGTCCTCTTGAAATTTTCAAGTAAGCGTGAAGAAACCGGTCGAAAAGTAGATTGTTTATAGAACTTATCAAAAAAATTCATACAGTCATCGAATTTCGTGAATTTTGCGGGTTTTTGTCGTGAATCACGTTTTATCTTTCTCCTCCCCTCCTCCATCACACGTGTTGTAGTTCTTCCCTACGCCTGATGCTGACAAAACAGTTATAAATCAAATAAATTTTGCTTACTATGGGACTTTGATCAAGCCTTTAGCTTGCTCAGCAAAGTCCTCCAGCTATTCAATTGCTCTGACCAATGCTGCATCATCCAGTGGTCAGTTCATGCAGTATTGCCCAGTGATTTTCAGTTTCAGTCAAAATTTTGCATATTCTCCAGAAATTACATTGTTTTTTAAAAGTTTGTGCCTTAAAAGATTATTTTTCATGGGAAATTTGTACTATTTCTTGCATTTTAGAGCTCCACGATAACTACGTAAAATTTTTTTTTTTTTTTTCGCGAGTAGTAAATGAGAAATAGTTACTTCTCCTCTGCAGCAAAGGTGTAAAAAATAAATAACGTCGAGGCTGTCTGTCCGAATGTGTTTGGATTTTGCCCGGAGTTTTCTAGGAAGCTAAAAACTAGGGAGCTGAAAATTTTGGGAAGCT